CCGCCCCCCCCCAACCCCTCCATCTTCCCCACGCGGAGGCAGCAGCCCGGCCTTGGTGCTTGCCTAGGGAGGAGTTTTATGGGCATCTTTACATTTTGGAGGGAGAGAGAGAGAGAGCCCTCCCCCCTCCCCCCCACGCCTCTCTGGGCTGGGGCTGTTTGGAGAGGCCCAGGATCAAGGAGAGATGTTTCCAGAGCCAGCGCTGACAAGCTAGGTGGGTCTCCTCTGCTTGGATGTGGCCGGGGCAGGCTGGGCCAGGCAAGGCGAGGAAGGGGTTTTAGACAGATTCCCCCCCCTTTCTCTGGAGCCACAGAGGGTGCCCCGCTGCTGCTGGCTATCGATGGGAGCTGGCCAGGGCCGCCCAAGGGGACCCGCGCCCACCAGCAGAGCCAGGGGTTCTGGCCGTGGGGTGTCCGCTGGGCTGGGTGCCCCGGGACTGGCTGTCTGGCCACGAGTGGCTCTCTGCCCGTCTCTCCCACCCGGTGCCACCGTGGCAAGGAGAGGAGCCGGCCGGGGCACCTGCCTTGCTGGGGCCAGTTGGCCTTTCTCCACGGGGGCAGGAGGCTGTGCCTTCCGGCCCGAGAAACTGGACAACTCCCCCCCCCTGACTCTCCTTGGCAGTTGGGGGGGCTGACTCTCCCTCGCCTGGCCGAGCGCGTGACATTCCAAGCCGCTGCTCTGGGGCAGCCCCCCTGAGGACCAGCGGCGGGTGCTTTTGTGTTCTTACCAGCGGGCGGCCATTTTTGCACCGGGGCCTTAACCTCGCCACTCCCTTCGTGAAACGAAAGCCTTTGTTCACATCTTGCAACCGGTCTTCCCTCCCGATGGAAACTTGGCACGGCCCGTGCCTCGGCAGGGCCCTGGGTTTGGCAACAGCCTTTCCCTTTAACAATAACTGTCCCCCGAGGGGGAGAGGGGCGGAACGTCTGCACCCATTTCTCCTTCCAAACGGGCGAGGCTCCATGGATGGCTCTCCCGTGGGCCCCCTGCTGCCCCAGCCTGACCGGGGAAGGAGAGACTCATCTGCACTGCAGTGTTCCCTCTGAGCTGAGTGAGTGTGACCTAGCTCACAGTTCTTTAGCCTCCGGCTCACACATTTCTGTCTTCGCTCAGGAAGGATGGGGCTCCAGAACCAACTAATTGATGCAGCGGCCAAATCGCTGGCTCACAACTTCAATGCCAGGAGCTCACAGAGTATAATTTTTGCTCGCAAGACTCCACAGCTTAGAGGGAACATCTGCAGGCTGAGGAGTTCCTAGACTCTGAACGGAACACATTTAAGGCCCCCCCCCCCAATCCTAGGTGAGGCCTTGATCCGGCAGCGCTGTTTTCCTGGGAGTCTCCCCCTTGGTTTTATCTGACTGTAAACTCTGTCCCTAATGGGGGGAGAGTAAAGGAGGCGCCACCACTTGAGTAGTCCCATGGCCTCGAGCCTGAACACATCATGCGGGGGGGGGGCCACCTTTCCCCGAGTCAGCCCCCCTCCCCTTGCTCCATCAAGGTCCGCCTGCTCCCCCCCTCCCCCTTCCCCCAGGCCCTTGCAACCTGCGATGCTTCTGGGGACTGAACGGGGGGGGGGCTTCTGCCTGCCAAGCCAGAGCCCCGCCACTGCGCAAGAGCCCCCTCCCCAGAGCTGTGGGGCTGCCCCACTGGAAGCTGCCTGGGATCCTGGGGGGGGGGGACTCAGCGGGGCGACTGACGCGGAGTCCTTTTGTGTTCTGTCAGCCTGTTGCACAACTGCACACTTCTGCCAATGGGTGTCAATGGGTTCTTTGGATGGAGGGGGTTGTGCAACTTGCCCGCCAGATGCTGAGGAGGAGAAGACAGTTCCCGTCAAGGAGGGTGACAGGAGTCAGCCCTGCCCCAGGATCACCACCCGCCTCTGCCTGGTTCTGCCTTAGCAAGACCCGGCAGGTCCCATTCGCCAGGCCCCCCCCACCCCCACACACAGACAGACAGACACAGACAGACAGCATAGGTCCCTGCCTGCCCGGAGGAGCTGGGAGGAGCCACACTGCTCCCTCGGGCCGCCAACCCCAGGAGGGGGGATTCCTGGAGATTTGGGGGTGGAGCCTGGGGAGGGCGGGGTTTCAGTCTGGCCGTGGGGGAGGGGTCACTGCGGGGTGTGTGTGTGTGTGTGTGGAGGGGGAGGCACTTGTGAATCTCCTGCCTTGTGCAGGCGGTTGGACTAGACGAGGTCCCTTCCAATTCTATGGTTCTAAAGACGAAGAGGAAGAGATTGGATCAATACCCCACGGCCCTTCACTACCCGAAGGAGGAGTCTCAGAGGGGCTCACAAACCCCTTTCCCCTCCCCCTCCCCACAACAGACAGACGCCCTGTGAGGCAGGTGGGGGGGCTGAGAGAGCTCTTGACAGAAACTGCTCTTTTTCAAGGACAGCTCTTGCCAGAACTAGGGCTTGCCCAAGGTCACATCAGCAGGTGCGAGTGGAGGAGTGGGGAATCAAACCTGGTTCTCCCAGATTAGACAACAGACACCCTGTGGGGTGGGTGGGGGCTGAGAGAGCTCTTGACAGAAACGGCTCTATTTCAAGAACAGCTCTTATCAGAGCTATGGCTTGCCCAAGGTCATCCAGCCCAGGTGCAAGTGGAGGAGTGGGGGAATCAAACCTGGTTCTCCCAGATTAGAGTCCGCGCACTCGACCACGACACCAAGCTGGCTCCAAACGTGGCCATGTTTGCCAAGGGACGTGGCGTGGAGGAGAGGAGGAGGAGGCCAGCCACTTTG